AACGAGATTAAAAAAGAGCAAAATAATAGTTCGGTGAATATTATTGAAGAACTCGGGGAAGAACAGTCGCAAATTGAATCGACCAAAACGTAAGAGTGTCATTTTATTATTAAAAAGAAAATTTACGTTGTTTTTCTCAAGTTTAAGAGCTCGATTCGAGTCAATGAGAGAGAGTAGTACGGAAACGAGACAGCCGAGAGTAAAAGTCAACAGATTTGTGGTGAGTTGATTGATGTTGGTAGAATTGAATTGTCTTTTTTCTAACATTGCGTGGTTTTTGCTGTTGCACTAATATTGTGTCTTGCACCCAAAATGCATGGAAAGCTCAACAATAAGTGGGCATTTTTTTTTTGATGTTTAGTGTAATGTGGTTGTAACTCAATTGTTTTTTGTTCACAGTGAGCGAAATTCGAGCAAGTTTCTACCGGCTTTTTTCTCTAACTTTTAATATGTAACATAGCTGATAGATGATATAAATGTATTTCGTAAAAAATGAACCATTTCTATTGGATTTTTTGATATTATACATACAATGTTTGTTCTCTTTATTTTGACTTGTAAATTTTATAGAAACGTTAATTGATGTTTGCGATTTGTTGCTATTAAATTTTCTATATTTGTAATTGTGCCAATCTTATCTGTTATTTTCTGAGTGGAATAAATATACATGCTGTATATACAAGTAATTTTACTATCCCGGGGAAAAAGACAATTCAATTTTTCGTTTTTTGTTTTGTTTTTTTTTGTTTATACGTTTTTTTGAAGGAGCTTCCAAATATAACCGAAACGTGCGAAAGTTGCAATTCGAGAGTGTATCCTTTAGAGAAAATTTCCGTTCACAATCACATCTATCACAAAAGTTGCTTCAAATGTATGGAATGTAACTGTGTTTTGAGGTAAGTCGTGACAGTCGCGTGAGGCAAATTAATATTGTACAAAAACTTGAATAAAATTTTGATGGTTTTTGTGATTGTTTCGTTTCGTAGGATGGATTCGTATTCGTACAATCAAGGTCTTTTATACTGCATGCCACATTTTAAGCGCCTTTTTATTTCCAAGGGTAATTACGATACAGGATTTGGGTTAGGTCAACATAAAGAAAAGTGGAACGCTACTATAGCTTAGTGTGATAAAAACGCCTTAATTGCCTAGCACTTGATTTTCCGTACTTAATGCATTTATTTTTATGTATTTATATAAGAATATATTATCCATTACCATTTATGTGATTTTATCCGAATAAATTTTATCGAAACTGAGCATGCTTTATCCTATTGATTTTTCCCTGAAAAACAGCTGATGGTGTGAAACATTCAGTTAAGTAGTTTAAGTGGGCCCAAAATGTGGTAAAATGGATTACATCCGCGAATTCGACATAAAACTAGACAAAGAGTATTACTACGCTGGCGAAAACATCAATGGGGTTGTGGTCCTAGACACCGTCGAGAATTTCAAGTTGCGAAGTAACAAATTCCTCGGTAAAATCCCCCTATTTTGACGATTTTTTTCAAGCTATTCGCATCCTCTTACGGGGGAAGGCCCACGCAGAATGGAAAGTCTTGCTATCGGGGGACCGTCGAACGGTCAAAGACGACCAATACTTCATCGACGAACGCCAAGTCATCTGGGGGGAGAAAAACCTAGAAACCACCATTCCAATCCTCCCCAGAGGCCTCCACAACTTCCCCTTCCGATTCTCCCTCCCCGAATCGAGTCTTCCGTGCTCTTTCGAAAGCAAGCCGTGCTGCATCAGGTACTACTTCAAAGTCACCATCGACATCCCCTACGCGAGCCCCCCGCAAGGCATGAAGTACTTCACGGTGATCGGGCCCCACATCGACTGCATGGACGAGCAATACTTGGTGATTTTTCACTTTTATTTTGCAAAAAGTTGTCATTTTTCACACCTCTCAGAAACCGGTGGTTTACGAGGACAGGAAAAGCACCTGTTGTTGGTGTTGCAAAAAAGGCACCATCAGTTTAAGGTGCGTTTTGGAACGCTCAGCGTACGTTTGCAAAGAGAGTCTGAAATTGAAAGCAACAATCGACAATCAGAGCGACGATGAGGTCAGATTGCGGGTCAGGTTGGAGCAGTGTTGTGAATTTTTTATCGATAGAGGAGTCTTGGGGGTCAGTAAGGACCTGAAACACCTCGTTTTTGAGTACAGGGGGAGCAATGTGAAGCCCCACTCGAGGAGCAAGTGGGACAGTGCCAATAGCCTTGTGTTACCTCCGATGCCTACAACACTTGTTGGTATTTGTAGACTAGTACAAATTTATTACGTGCTTTCCGTAAGTCAACTTTGCAACACTGAATCAAAAATTAATCACTATTTTAGGTAAGTTTAGACAGTGATAAAGACGTAGATATAGTCCAAGTCAGTTTTCCGATAACTATAGCTACTGTCCCCTTTCGAATACCCAACAAAAACACTACACCGGCTATACAATACGGTAAGTTGGTTATAGCCCAGTCAAATTAGACAAATCGGTGAAAAAAAATCCTAGACAGTTGGATTTTTTTTAAACGTTTTCTTTATACTTGGGTAGACATATATCAAAAGTCCCCGAAGGTGGGGAGCGAGCTCGAGGAGGGGGAGGGGGTTAAAGGTGTCTTTTTTGCTTATATCTCGGAAATTATCACTTCTATAGGTTTTTATCTTCTTATCAAAATTAAAGCTTACAAAATTTCCTACAAAAATGGCCCTTTGCATTTTTGTTGTAGGACTAACCGTAAGCGAGTTATAGGACAGAAAAGAAACATCATTTAAAAAAATGTGCCTTATCTGCATTTAAAACAGAATTAGTCTTGTAATTAAAAAAAAAACTGACAGTAAATTAAATTTACTGGGTCCAATACTTCATTAAAGGAAGGGGGAGTCACGAGGGTCTATAAATACAAACTGATCGTTTATCTAATTTATGCAGAATTTTCTGTAGAAGTTTATTTCTGCATCAAAATTTCCTACAAAAATGGTCCTATTCATTTTTGTCGTAGGACTAAGCGTAGGCTTCAAAAGTTTGGAGTCTACATAAAATTGCATTAAAAATCTATGGTAAGTATTTATAATTATGTGTAGAGCGTTCCTCAACTAAGCTGGTCTGCCTGAAAGGTGACTCGGGTCTAAACATTTAAACGGAGATATAAATAAAAATTTTGGATGAAAGAGAGAATCAATCGTTAAGGGGGTTAATTGGGGTGTAAATGTTTAAACAAAGATATAAACATAAAATTCTTTAGAGGTATAAAGGGGCACTAAAATCAGATTTTTCGAAAATTTGTTTTTAAGGGAATAAAACGGTGTACACATTTAAAGGGATATAACAACATTAAATTTAGAAAATATGATCCTTAGAGAGTGTAGAAGTGCACTTTTCAAATTTTAATGAAATAAAATAGAGTTTAAACGCTTAAAAACAAAATTACAAACATGAAATCTCGAATTTTGAGAGTGCAGAAGTACACTGAGACGACACTTTATGAAAATCAACATTTAATATTTATCCATAAACATGGCCTATGCGAAGAACGAGACTACTATAACTGAGTCCTATACATAACATAGGTAATTATCTAGCTTTATAGAGTACCTAAGCCTATGGAATGGTTTTGTGAGCGGGCTTTTTCCCATTTTATATCAGAAATACACGCGGACAAAGTCGCAGGGAAATGCTAGTTCAGCATATAAGGATGACTCGGAAGACTTAATAGACCCTCGTGGCACCCTCTAATAAACTGTTGGATCCAATACATTCAATTTACTATAAGCTTTATTCAAATCATCGATATTAACTCATCTATTTATTAATATTGTACTGAACAAAACTGTAATTCGGTTTTCAATGTTTAAGTTGAAAACGAAGATGCAGCATATGAGGACGACTCGGAAGACTTTATAGACTCTCTAATGAAGTGTTGCACCCAATAAATTCAATTTGCTTTCAGTTTTTTCGATTCACAAGATTAATTCTGTTTTAAATGCGGATAAAACACATTTTTTTGTCAGCTCTGTAACTCGCTTACGGTTAGTCCTACAACAAAAATGCAAAGGACCATTTTTGTAGGCTTTAATTTTGATAGGCAGGCAAAAACCGTTAGGAGTGATAGTTTCTGAGATATAAGAAAATAAACAAAAAGACACCTTTTGCCCCCTCCCCTTCCTCGAGCTCGGGGACTTTTGATATATGTCTACCCAAGAATAAAGAAAGCGTTTAAAAAAAATTCCAACTCTGTAGGATTTTTTTCCACCGATCGCCCTATTTTTGTCTAATTTGACTGTGCTATTAATTCATTGATTAATTCAAATTAATTAATGCAAAATAGAACATGCGTGTTCCCACGTCGAAGGAGGGCAATACATAGGGCCGGAGTTTCTCCTAGGGCAAGTCTACGACGGAAATGAACACCACAGGTGAGCAATTGGAGAGAATTTCGCATGTTTAATTTTTTTTATTTCAGAGAGCCTATCGTACTGTACAAACCCTTATATGTAACTGTAGACAAGTCTGAGACGAATTAAGGCAATAATATTGACTTTTATTTAAAGCAGGGTATGGTAAAATATCACTTGATTTGTTTTAATCACCTCAAGACTGATGACAGAAACACGAGTAGTCAATTTTTTCATTTTTTGTACCCTGAATAGGAAGAAACTAGTTTTTAAACGGCGATTCAGAGCAGATTTTAGCCTAATATTACGAAATGACCTCAGTATTAATCTTCCAACTGTGTCAAACAAAGCACCAAGAAAAAAGTTAAATATAATATTTAGAACACGATTTAAATGTTACAATGTTTTAGGTGTTGATTCCCCATGTGTTGTTTCATTTGCTCAAATTACATTTAAATGTTGTTTCTTATTGTATGACTGTTGATACGAAAAGGTGTACTTTAGTACAAAATTATATAATTTATATTTATATATAACTGTTATTTGTTGTATATCTCAAATAAATGTTTATCAATGCCTGTGTTTGGGATGGTCAATCAAAAACCCAAATCTGTACCATTACATATTTATACTTAATAACGTCTATATAATATACAAATTTTATGATATATTCTACAGAAAAATTGTATTTAATGGTTAAAAAAAATATATAAATCTCCTATTTACTATAAATAATTAGCCTACAACACAGAACACTCGATATTTGATGATAATAAAACTTAACTGACGGAAAACCTTTACTGCCGATAGAAATTCTCTACAAAAGCAAAAAGTATACAATAAAAAATTCTTTCGTAACAATTGTATTTACACAATTCATGTAAATCAACAATTTCGGTGAGTTGCGTAAACCAAAGAAAAAAAGTTATATCACATTGAGCAGAAGAACCCAACCTAACATGCGCAAGAATCTCCATTACTACTCGGCTTATTAGTATTAGTGAGTTTGATTTGATCGGGGAATTCGTTATAAAGATCAACGGTCGAGTTTTGTTGAGCTAGTGCGTTTTTCGCAATTGCCAAAAACGCCTGCTCCACGTTGAGTCCTTCTTTCGCTGAGGTTTCAAAATAGGGTATGTTGTTCTTCATCTGGCACCACTGTTGCGCCCGTTTCGACGATATAGCGCGCGGCTCTAGATCCACTTTATTGCCCAGAAGCACAAACGGGAAATTCTCGGGCTCACGGGGCGACGCCTGAATCAAAAACTCGTCGCGCCAACTGTCCAGAGACTTGAACGTGTTTGGGGCCGTCACGTCAAACACTGAAACATTGCTCGTTGATACGGCCCCACCTCGCATCACCGCCCCCCATTCTTACCCAAAACGCAGCAGTCGGCGCCCCGGTAGAAGGCCACCCCGAGCGACTGGAAGCGTTCTTGTCCCGCGGTGTCCCAGATTTGCATCGTGACGGACCGGTCATCGACTGTCACTTCTTTCGTGAGGAAATCAGCACCGATCGTTGCTTTGTATTGATTGGAGAATTTTCGGTTAACATACTGATTCATCAGAGACGTTTTTCCGACACTTGAGTCGCCCAAAATGATGACTTTTAACAGGACTTTTTTGCGGCTGGCCATCTGGAAACGGGAAAATTCCGATGTTTTCAATGAGGTTTTATAATCTAATACAATTATGATTCATAAGTGAATACAAAGAAATGTCAGCTGATTACACTTAACAGGGCCAATTTTCACACACGACGTGGCGTCAATCCGAAAAACAGTTCACAGTCACTAAATTAAGTGGAAAACGAGTTAATTACCTTTTTTGATGTTTAATTTTCTTGAATTTGATGGAAAATACACTGAAGCGATTTATTGCGTTCAACAACTAACGAAAATGGCGTCGTCACTTTTAGGAAAATCTGGGGACATTTCGGTTTCAGATCAAGCGCGTCATTTGATTTTTTTGTGAAAAAAATGTGTAATTGTAACAACAAGTTAAGTGTAACATTTTAAAACTGTTTATTTTCCAATGAGTGACACTAATTATTTTTTTGTTGCAGTCAAATAGTCAAAAAACAATTTTTCTTTGGGGACTTTTGTTGCACACGTCCGGGCGTTAGTCCAACAGCTGATTTTTGTCAATAATTGAGTCGAGTGATATTTACACGCAAAAGTTTGGAAAATCAGAGATAATTAATCATGTCAGACTCTGACGATAACGCAAATAATCTGCCCGATGGCCAAATGGAGAACGGGCATATTTCAGTCGATTCTCAATTTAATTTTTCACGCGAAAGACAGCCTGGTATGTTTTGTGTTTTTGTTGATATTTTTCCTCTTATTTGTTTATTTAGGGACGAACCAAGCATCTGATCAGTTCGATATTGATTTACCGACTTCCCATCGTGTAAGTGTTACAAGAACCGTTGCATTTTTCTCGTAATAGTGGGTTTTTAGTATTTGGGCAAATTGGACAATGTAACAGGATACACGTTTTATGACGACGGCGAAATTGCAACTTTAGCGGCGATTCAGACAAACACACTTGTTTTCCCCGGTTTCACGTTACCGCTGGTGTTGAATAACGACTTGGAGATAAACATGTTACAAAGACACACTTCAAAGAAAAACGCTTTTGTTTTGCTAACCCCAGAGTAGGTTTTTGAGCATGTTTCACACTTGTTATAATTCGAATTTTAGCAAAACTTTTAAAGGATTTTTCACCTACGGGGTCATAATGGAAATATTTGAGACGCATTTACGTAACAGCGTGCTTTATTTGAAAGCTAGGAGTCGGCAGAGATGCCGACTAGTCCCTGGCAAAGAAATTAAAACTTTGATTGGTGAATTGTATCAAGTCACTGTTGAAGTCAAGCTGGAACCACCCCCAACTTCGCCCCTTTGTAACACTCAATTGAACTCACTGAAAATTCGAAAACTTTTCAACTGTACTGAGTATAGAGAGTTTTACAAGTATCGCAAATTCAGATTGTTTCATCTCAGCCAATTTCCGCTAGCGAGTTGGGTTTATGACAAACACGAGATTTGTTTCCTCCATCACAAGCTTGTAAATGCTTTATCAAATTATTATTTAATCGAATTTATACCTGAAGATCCCGTACAATTATCTTATTGGTTTGTGCAAAACTTCCAATTGAGGCACGAGGAAAGACTGAGAATTATGGTATTGCGAACGGCCGTTGAGCGATTAAGACTTGAACTCAAATATCTCAACATGGTAAAAGACAGTGTTTTGTCAAGCTTGTGTTCATTTCTCTCTTATAGAAAAGACTGATTTGCTGTGCTAAATGCGACGCGGAGATTGCTCAGCACACTAACGTTTTTCCCATGTCAAAAGACGGAGTCCAGAGTAATTACTGCAATCCCGAAGGATACGTTTTTGAGACAGTTACGGTTTCAAAAGCCACAAATTTCACACTGTTTGGGTCACCCTCGGCACAGTTTTCGTGGTTTCCCGGGTATTTGTCACTCAAAGTAATGGATTAAACATAATCGGTTTTTTTACAGATACTCCTGGACTATCATGCATTGCAAAATGTGCAGTTCACACCTGGGATGGAAATTTTCCTCGGTGAATCTTAAACCGGCGGTTTTTTACGGCCTCGCGAAAAGCGGTTTTGATATTAAAATCGTTAAAGAGGAACCGGAGCCTTTATAATTGAGTATTTTGATTAAGTAAGTAGGGGCTGTGAAATGCTATTCAGTGTGTAATAATCTCACTTAATTAGGAATCACGTGTATTCTAAGTGTAAGGCTGCAATAAGAAAACAGTAAAGTATTTCAAGATTTATTTTAAAAAAATAATAAAGCGCTTATGTATAAATATTTGCCATCTAAACATACCTGGTAAGCTTTCCGTTAAAAAAATAATAAAGGTTAGATAAATTAACAAAAAATAAATAGTTTCTATCATGAGAAATAACTTACAAGGAATGATAACTCTTTTATTCGTATATTTACAAAAACAGTTTTGAAACAGTAGAGAAAATGTTACCAACTCGGTAAAAAAAGGTGATTGAATTATTTACAAGGTCCTTCAGTCTTTCAAACGTTAATAAAAAACAAAAATATGTATTTACAGAATAAATTTTGAGCGTGTTATCTAATTGGCAAATTAGGGCGGTGTATGCCCTCTATTTCTGTTATTCCTATTTCTAAAATTCCTATTTCCGTTATTTCTATTAAAATTATTCCTTCCTCTTCTCCTATCCCTATTAAAATTCCTGTTGTTATCCCTATTCGCGAAATTATTATCTTGTTGATAATAATCATCGAATCCTCCGAAATTATTTTCAGGGGGGAAATTCCCAAAAGGCGGTGGCGGCGCATTGTTAATCCTCGGGTCAAAATTCATGGGAAAATCATTGGGTATGTTGGGAATCCCCGGTGCCGCCCCTAACAACCCCGGCTGCACCGCCATCATATTGGGGTTCTGCCTCATAACCATCGGCGGGGGATTACTGATCATCCCCGGATTTAATTTATTTACATTGGCCAAAATGTTCAACGCCGCCCCCATATTAGGACTGTTCATGTTACTAGTAGGAATCAGATTCAGCGTCGACAACATACTGTTCAAAACAGGGTCATGGAAGCCGTTTTGGTCACTCCTAGCAGCGAGTTCTTGATTGAGGAGCAGTTTTTGGTTACTGGTCAAACTCTGGAAGAATGCCGAACTTTGCAAAATATTCAACTGTTGATTGTACGTCAACGTTGAAGAATCTTGTTGTTTCTCTTCGATTTTCTTGAGACGCGGATCGATCCGAGCTTTGGGACTCGCCTTCGGACTTGCAGGACTATCCTTCTCTTCGGTGCTCAACCGGAAGATTTTCTTCAATCGGGGATCCCCGGTTTTTTCCGCATCTTGAATGTTTAGTTTTAATCCGGTGTAATCCGGACGCGGAATATCGACTATTTCGACTTTCCATATCATAGGCGGATGCGAATTAACACTAGCGTCGATTTCCTTCGCTGGTGTGTAATTCAACATGCCTTTGAACGGTAAATGTAAGTTGCGTAAGTCGACGTCGGGACGTCCCCGAATATCCGACTCGACAACTTGATCGGGACTCTTCGGCTCGTCCGAAATAATACTCCCCTGTTCGTAAATACTGATTTTTTGTTCGGTCGAAGGCGTCCTTTGCTGTCTCGGGTCACGAATGGCCGGCTTTTGGGCCTCTTTCTGTTGACTCATTGAAGTCAACAATTTTGTGACTTCGGCCGAAATATCGATTTTTGACAAGTCACCTAGTTTTTCCACCACGTCTAATGGCTTGATTTGAGGCGGACTCATGATATTCTCACTCTCTTCTTTCTTTTCTTCTTCATTGTCGACTTTGATCGTGAGCCGATTTTCGTCCTCATCATCGTCGTCCGAGTACCAGTTGATGTTTTCGTCGACTTGGATTGTTTCAGGCTGTTGTTCAGGTAAGTTGGTTTTCTGTTGCGACTGTATCCTCAAGTACAACTCGCGTGGAGTTTTCGGTAAGTCTGGAAGAGCATTTTCGGTAACTTCCGGTTCTTTGTTTTCCTCGAAAACTGGTAAAATTTGCCGAATATCGATGTCTTTACTAGCCAACATTTGTTGCCTTATATCTACGTCTTTCGTATCGAATTGCAACATATTCGGATTCCTTATATCGATATCTTGGGTGAAATTATTCACATCGTTCTCACCCGAAGTCTCTTCGCTTTGAATTTGGGGCTGCATTTGCGCCAAAGGTGGTAAAGTCCTCATATCAATATCACCATTACTATTCACCCTCATATCTTGATCCAAACCGAACGGTTTGATCACTGGATCCGGGTCTTGCCACCGCGACGGTTTATTCCTCTTCTTGTTACAATCATTGGCGATTTCCGGCGGCACTCCCATGTTAATATCCAGCATCGGCATCCCTTTATCACTCTTATCAATCCCATACTGCACCATTAAATTCTGCTGGGCCACGTTGATTTTATTGAGAAGTTCCTCGCGATTCATCCGGGGAAAACCACCCAAAATCTCACGAGGCGCCGTCTCGATATGCTTGAATAAAATCTGTTTGCGGTGCTCATCTAACGGCTTCCCGTGCGCAAATTTACAATTATCACCCTGGACACACACGAGACCCGTGTGGTAAAGTTTACAAGGAAATTCCGAATGCATGTACGAACATTTCTCGCCTTTCGCGCAACAGTCCTTCAAGTAAAACTTGCACAGTTCGAGTTTCATGGGCGGCACGGCCTCGTGTGAATACGGACAGTCATTCTGCAAAAAAAATAACAATCACTAACAATCCCAAACGAAACGCCTATGACAACAGCCATGATTTGCGGTTACCATGGAAATGTCTTTATTTCCATGGTGACGCTTTCATATTACATTTGGTTGCCATAGAAACGCTCTGTTTATTCTTCAGTGGCGTATCAAAAAAATCTAAACAATGTAACAATGTGTGGTAAAAGGGCGTGGATTCGCACCTTTTGGCATTTCCCTTGCAGGAAGAAAACGCAGACGCCTTGTGAGTCCTTGTTTTGTTGTTGCTGTTCGTTTCGCCTTTCGCGACTCCTCTTCCTCTGCCGATTTCGGCCCTTGCCCTTTTTGTGGTCTCGTTTCCGGTCGCTTCTGCTCCGATCGGACTCGTCCGAAGTGTAGGAGTCTTCGGATCGCGGCGACGCCGATCTGTCGCGTTTTTCCTCCGATTTCGGGCTGGCATTTTCGTCGTCCTCCGCTTTCGGGGAGTCGATTTTCCGTTGTTTTCCGCCTTTCGGCCTGTCTTTGTCGCGGTTTTTCCGCTTTCGGCCCCTCTTGTCGTCGTCTTTCTCCTCGTCACTAACGTGTTTGTCCTTTTTCAGAACGCTGGCGATGGCTTTTTCGATGTTTATCGCGAAGTCGTCCACGGCTGAAAATTTCACTTTTAAAATTGTGGTACTTTTACTTTAAGAGTTGGGGAATTACCGGCCGGGTCCATGTTTTGTTCCTTGCGGTATTTTTCCCATTTTTCTCTTTGCATGCGTTCTCTTTTACGCAGATGAAGGATGCTTTTCTCGGCTTCAGTCATGTGTTTCTTTTTGTCGTCGTGGCGGCGTCTTTCGGACCTTTCGTGGCGGGTCCGGTCGCGCTCCGGCTTCTCCTTGGGGGGCTCGGGGTCTTTGGGGGGCGGCGGGGCTGCCTCCACGGGAGGCTCGTCCTCTCCGTCATCTTCGATTTCGCCGTCTTCGAGGTCATTATCTTGGACAATCTCCTGTTCCTTTGCCTCTTCTTTCGTCTCTTGGGGTTGCTCCTCCACTTGAGGAGTCGCACTGTCGAGAAAATCATTTGAATTACGCGCCATTACACAACTCGATAAATCAGACATAGATGGCGCGAGAGGTGTTCAAGGTCGAGTAAAGCAGCGACCCTCAAACTGTTTCAGATTTTGGGAAAATAATTCGAGAAAAGGCCGGTTACGAATTAACGAAACGGCAATCTGAGCACAAATTTGAACATTTGTCACAAATATTGTAAAAATAACAGTTGTTACTAATTGTTTCGTGAAAATGTTTTCAGCAGTTTGACGGCTGCTGGCATATGGAGAGTCCTGACGGCTGTGTCCTAATTCAAAAAATGTGATTTGGGTCTCGATGATTTGGAAATTATTTACCAAACTATCGAAACGCAAATTATGTAAAAAAAAAATAGAAATGTGATTAATTTTGATCCTACACCATTTCCCTATTGTTAGTTCTCGCTTGTGCACTTGAAAAATTACTTGAAGGAGAAAAAAGCGCAAGCAAATTATTTAATGCCGAGTATTTTCGTTTTCAGATCGTTTAAAAAATGAAAACTGACTGAAAATTTTGAAAAATCGTGTGAGGCCAAATCGAGAATTGGCACACAGCCATCGTCGCGTCGGCCATCTTGTCATGAAAATACACAAACATTTTAATCACTTTCCTGAAAGAAATATGCTAATATCTCGTTGAGGACTTGTCTAGTTAAAAACCTAAATGTTTGTTAATGAAATTTGTTTCGATTTTACCTCGATTGGAAGTTTAGTATGTTCGTCCCCGAAAATGACGCGTCGATTTTTTAAGAGTTGGGCGTGGCGAGAAAATTCGACAATAAAGTGAAATTTTCCGCGGAAAACCGACACATCATGATCGTTCAACGACGATCTTAACATATTTCAGGCCTTTTTCCGGCGTAGAAGACGAATTTCCGGTCGGAAAATAATAATGCAAACCTTTCAATGTTATCAACGTCACATACGAGCGCCATATTCTCTCGCAACCTAATTATATGATCACTAGGCGGATAATTGTGATAAAATGGCATGAAAATAGTCACTCATTCACTGTTTAAATCTGTCCTGGCGTCGTCGTCGGCAACGTCGGCGTCTCGGTGATTAGGACAGACATTTGTTTGGATTATTACGCATAATTTTCATGTTTTTAACCGACTGTTCGCTATGGCGAGGAGACCACAAATGATTTTACAAAGAGGAAAGGAAGGTATTTCGATATCGAGCGAAACACAGACGACGACCAATCACGGAACAGAATACGCTGTTGCTAGGCGCTGAAACGACATTCCCTGACCCCGATTTCGACGAGCTTTTGCACCATTTTCGACCTTGTGCACACTTCACACAAGAAAAATACCACAAATCAAACGCTCTTTTACAGTAAATCCAGAACGGAAGCGAAATTTTATACCCAAATGTTACGGAATTTCATCTCAAATACAAATAATAATATCACCCAAAACAAAAACCTTCATTTTGTACTAAAAAATTAAATAATGTTGCCAATTTCAATGTTTATGCAGTCCATATGGATCAATTACAAGAATTTTATTAAATAAACAATGTTTATGCTTAATTATACCAGCGCCATCTGTCCATCAGTAGTTATACAAGGTACAGGTAGCTGCTTTAACGACTTTGGCCAAGTTTACGATTTTTTTCAGTGGTACTCAATGATTTTTTTAAAACTTGGCTTCTATCTCTAAACAAATGAGGGTGCAATGGAACTATAAATTAGTGTTTTTTTTATACGGAAATAAAGTCAATGATCATTTTCAATGCTGCTTACATATTCTGTTTATTTTGATTTTTTTGAATTCTACTTTCACAGTTTGTTTGATAAATATTACAAAAACTGTTATCATTTCGTGTTTTTGTCTCCAACTTTTTTCAACCCTTTTATTTCTTACATTTATGTCAATAAATTATCATCAGATTTTAGGTATTTTACTCTCGTGAAAACAATGTGTGGCACACTGAATTTTCAAAATCTGTTTAAGTTTTTAAAGTGGTGTTACACTGGCGGACACGAAATTTTGGACGATTTGTCATTCGACTGACATAACATTGCAAAACGGACCTGAGGTAACTAACCTCACTTTCGGTTTTTGTAATTTTTGTCCCGATAGCCAGAGAAAAGATTACACCAAATCACAATAAATTTATTGAACTTTTATAAAAACACGTATTACTGACATTTTTATTTCGGAACATCGACGCCAAAAATAAATTTCAACTAAAACTTTCAAATTTTATTTTCAAACGTCAATCAGAATAACAATAAAGCGTGGATTACATTGACGTTTTTTGAACTGACATAAATTTGATGTCCAAAATTCCGTGACCGCCAGTGTAATACAACAAATAAAATGGGCACCTTGTATTCTTATTATATCGAGCGATCAAGATAATTTGTAATCTAGTCATCTTTGAATCCGAAAAGGTATGTCTGAAACCTCAAATAAAATGACAAGTCGAAAGGTAAAATGGTATGATCGAAAAAATAACGGTGATTTTAATAACTAAATTTATGATTTACCTTCAAAAAAGACCGTTAACTGTTCTATTATTATACGCCAGCGAGTAAACTATATTATTTTTATTAATAATCAACTTGACAATAAAACCATTTTAAGTTCGCCAAACATTTATTTCACGAAGATAATTTCAAATTTTATTATTAAAAAAACATTAAATGCCTAATTATAAAAATATCACGTTTCAAATAAGTCATAAGTTACTTTGATCGGAAATTAACTATTATTATTTACTATTTTTTAGATTCCAGTTTTAACTTCCTTCAAAAAATTTTGAGTTCACTTATAAATGATTTGATTTTTGTATCCAATATTTTCTAAATGCTTTAGGTTGTAAATGTATCCAAAAGCCAAAAGTACAGTGATGGACAGTAAATTTCGTCCACCCAATTTCCCTGACAGATTAAAAATGTAAATTAGTCTTTAAGTTTTCGTAACCTTGTTTCAGAATTTTGATTAATGTTTGTCATGTTGACAGAATGTCCAAAAGTATAGAGAAACGTCTTTGAAAGCACAGACTACAGTGAATTTACAGAAATTGGGTGGACGAAATTCACTGTCCATCACTGTACCTGTACAAACTTGAAAGGGAAAACAAAGCAGTGGCGCAACACAGTAAATTTGCTAAATGAAATAGGGGTTTGTTGGTCCGTAACATTATTTTTGCATTTACAGCTGGTTACAGCAAAATGTAAAATGTGACAAACACAAAAGTGTCAATTTATGAAGTGTAATTAATTAATTAAGTGTTAATTTATTAAGAAAAACAATAACAATACAAACATAGTGAGTTAAAACGTGCTACAAGTGCAAAACTGATACGGGCTATTAGAGGTGACGTCACAGACGCGACTGTACTGAAGCTAAACATACAGTGTTGCCAGTTGTGATACTAGAGTACCAAATTGATACTAGATTTTTTTTACTAGATATTTATATTTACTTGTAAACAAATAATAATTTATATTCTCAGCCAAATACACATTATGTGCATGTWAATATATTTTATTTTGTTTTGTTTTGGTACGACCTATCCACTCCTGTCGTTTGCAACATTCTGACAACGCTGTACACATATTTTTGAAGTACACAGTGAGGTTAGAACAGATTAAATTACAGAAATGTTGACTACAATTGTTAAAACCATCGCGGTCTCCATAGAAATAATCTTTTTCTCGCCTGGGCATTTTGTGAGTTCAACTGATTCCCGTTGGCGCTTTAATCTGGGAAAAATTTTTGACAAATCCAGTTTTTTAGCTTAAAGGGTTCAACCTCATAATATCAATTCTCCCTGGCGTATCTTGTTTTGTTGTATCCTTCCTTCCCAGCATTTATTAATTGCGTTATTTTTCGTTAATAATTAAAAATCATTCAGTTTTTCCTTAGTAACTCCCGTAACTAAGAAAAAATCGGAATCACTGCTCCAATGCATTTTTTACGAAATGCCCAGGCAGGATATTGATACATTTGATTAAGGAGGCGGTGGTTAAAACCATTACGAAACGACACACATTTTTCATAGCAACTATTTCCTTAGAAACAATCTCCCTACACGTCCAGGATTCCAGAAATAAACTTTTATTTGTTTAGCTTCAAAGGTACAGTCACGTACCTTGCTGACGTCACACTAATAGAGCGTATTCAAATTGAAGCCTCGATTGAATCTTTGTGATAAAATGAAAACACCAATAAGATCAAAGCTATATTAAGAACTATCGAAATGACAAAATTTAAGTAAATTTGAGTCGTTACTATTAAAAAACTACAGCTTAAATTTAATTTTTTTAATGAGCTGTCTGTCAAATTCAAAAACCTCCCTATTCTTAAGATTGGACTCGTCCGGGACGCCCACGCATATACAAGATTTATAAAGTGTAAGACAAGGTTTTCCACCGTAATTTTTTTTTTCTCACTTTTCTTTAGTGAATTGCAATATTATTCCTGATACTTACATCGTTTTCTAATCTCGAGTAATTTACTAAATACGTTTTTATAAACAGACCTCGAGAGTTTTTCTGAGAAAACCCATAAAACTTGGAATATTTACGAGGGTCAAGTCAAGCCCACCCCCGAGTGGTCGATGATCGAAACCAGATGTCTTTAAGACTGTGAGAACCAATTCTCTAAAAATCGTCGAGTTAGAATTAGTTTTAACCCACACTTCATCGGGGTAGTTTGAGTTCGAGTGTGAGTTTATCACTGAGTAATCTGGGTTCCATTGGTGTGAGTGAGTTATCACAGAGTAATCTTGGTTCTATTGGTGTGTGATGTTTTCCAATCCAATAAGAGGTAGAGGTTTTTGATATTTGCCATATCAACGGTAGGGTGAGTCGTTTAATAATTATTTTAATCGCTGTGATATTGATATTTATCATTGTTGAAAACATTCATCAGAAACCTGTGTGAGTATTGAGTAGAGTAGGTATCAAACTGTAGTTGATTTGATGCGCTATAAATCAGTTGATGGTATTTAATTAGATGATATTGAAGTTGATAATATTTTATGAGATTGATATTTGAATTGATTGTTGATAATTGATGAATATTATTAAGTTGAGCCCCGACATGTCGAGCTAAACTATT